TGTCTTCTTGAAAAGAGGGTGATGGCCCCTGGCTGGAATCCAAGTGAACTTTCCCTTTCAGGTTTTTAGAAATAATCTCTTCCTGGTAAGAGGGGGGTGACGCTCGGTTCTGTGACTTGGTGGAATTCCCCTGCGTTCTTCTTTTCTTAAGCATGCGTTAAATCCTTTTATCTTTGGGGCTCACAGTGTGAAAGGGTCACTCTTTTGCTGCCAAGGAAATACTGTATCGCTTGTGATGTTAAAGGGGCACTGAACATAATCTTGTCCTATCTGTCGTTTCGAACCATCAATCTGTGCTTTGCAGGGTCTTTCTCTTTTTAGACCAGATCCTCTTCCTGTCTTTTGTTGAGGACAGCCGTCAGGCAATATTGGCTATCAGCCCAGGGAAACGGGGGGGCTCATTGTCAGTTATTACCACTGGATCCACTGCAGAGATTTGGAACGAGCGGCCAGTCAGTAAGGAAGAGACAAAAAATCTAGTTCTCCGGAGTTTGAAAGAAATAGATAGGGTGTGTGTAAAAGGAAAACAGCGACTCCTGGCCTTGCAGTGCTCTCACTGTTTGTTTTGTATGTGTTTCTCTTTTGGAATTAAGTATTTGGTAGGCCTCTGAAAACAAGAGCAATGAGTTTGCATTAGCCAGGCCTTCTGTTGGAAGTGGCCCCGTTACATACCAAAAACGTAATTCATTCTTCTCCACTCTAAAAAAAAAAAAATTTCTAACGCTGAAGTGAGACAGAATCTCTGGGCAAACTGCTAGTATTAAGCCTAGAGCAATAAAACTCAGTCCAGCCCAGAGACCTCAGCAGCATCTGGTTCGTTGTGAAAGGAAGAAGAGTTTAATTCGGCAGTGTCCCAGAAGAGGAAGTTGGTTGCCACATCTGGATGGCAAAGACACATTTTGCCAACAGATAGGTGGCCAAAAATCTGGGGGACGGATCTGAGGATATGACTTCTGATCCTCTGTGGGAGAATTCAGCCGGCGGCTGATCTTTCTCGCCTAGCCGTTGCCATGGCCAGAGGTGTGACAGCCACGCTGACTGCGTTGCGGGGAGAGCCCGAACTCATACCTGTGCTGTTTTGAGAGGGAGGAGTGTCAGGTTTGCAGACTGCCTGGCTTTCCCCTTCTCATGGCCATCCCCACGGCCACCGGCCACCACTTCCACTGCATTTCAGCAGGGCAAAATAATTCTTCAAAAATCACCTGCTTTGAGGAAAACAGTGGAAGAAGAAAGGAGGAAAGGGAAAATCTGGTAGTAGCCAGAACTGAGCAAAGGCAGGGTGGAGGTTATTAAAGAAAGAAAGATCTGCTTCAGATCAAGTGAAGATCCCACAGATCCCTCAGGAAGGGAGTTTTTTTACATAAGGCTTCCCAGTGGTGCCCTCCAGCTCATTGGAGCAAGAGTGGGTTTATAGGGAAGGAGTAGTGTGATAGTGTGTTTTCTGGCTGAGATCATTTGTGGTGCTGCTTGCCAGAAAGATGCAGGTCATTACCCACCGAAATTTCCACCGCTGTAGCATTTAGCATTGCCTGACCTTGGCCTGGCCCATGTAGTAGGACGGACTGTGTCCTACGTGTCTGTATGGTTGGCACCCATTGAATGCATCCATTCATCCATACATCCACCATTGATGGTGACTCACCCCTCCCAAAGCAGCAGGGTGGGCTGGCTCCTCAGGTTGCTCAGAGACCACTTAAAACCCTGGGCGTGGTTTAATGACAAAGAATAAATTGATGTTTTAAGATCACTCGACCTTAGTAGGAGAGGTGCACTAAGCAAGACTGGAAGCAGAGCTATGGAAAGCTAAATGAATAGTAAATTTTGTGGGTATCAACTCAAATCTCAGTTCTTCTCCTGGCTGCTTTTTTGGGATGCATCCCCCGGGTCCCTTGAAGGAGGACCTGCTACCCAACACAGCTAGGGCAAGCCTGGAGGATCACACAGGCTTTCTCCATCAGTGGAGGGACCCTTTGCTTTGGGCATTTTCACCCAATAGTTACTCTAAGCAGCCTGGTGCAAAAGCACTTTGGTAGCTGTGCTGGCTTCGCAGCTCCCTGGGGTGGGATGGCGAAACACTGAGGTCAGGCCCCTCTTTGTGTGTCTCATGGGATCCCAGCTGGCCACTGGGGCTGGCCCAGAGCCAAGGCAATGATCTGCCTCTTTCTCCTTTGGATGGAGTTGAATTGAATTGTCTTTTCCACCTTTCCTTCAGTGAGCACTTGCTTCCTGCCTCTCTGGGCCTGGGCTTTGGGAAGTGAAGAGGAAGTGGCAGCAGTGGGATATTTCCACCTTCCTTCCTCCTCTTCCTTTATTTACATTTCTTTTGTCTTCTTTCTACCTTTAGGTGTTGCTTTTTCTTGCTTCACTTGTTGTCAGGACTCCTCTCAAACCCTAATATCCCTATTTACGGGATAGATCCCCTTTTTGACTCACTAGATAGCTGGTTTCTAGCTTGCACCACCATCATCGAGGATTCAAACCAGCTAAGGAAAAAAGAACATAACTCAGTCCTGCCTTTTGCAACTGGGGTTCCTCTGCTGGGTCCAATCCTGATCTTACGCCCGTGTTTTGCTTCCTTACCTGTCCTTATTCGAAAATAAGTTGGTCTGGTAAGAAATGTGACCTCTCTGCAAACACTCTTTTCCTACAGATGTGGTGATGTTTTTTTCTCACAAGTCCAAGGTTTCTTCAAGTAATCCATCCTCCTAGTTTTAACTAAATTCATTAGTTACCGTACCTTTCAGATCATGCAGCTCAAAACTCACCAGGTGCCCACATATCTTAACAGTGGTCTCAGAAATGGCTAGCTCCTGGTGGCTGGTAGATAACCAGGAGTAGAAAACATGTTTAAGAATGGGATCTGCACATCTTTTCTCTCCCCTCTGCATTTCCCTATTCGGATGTCCATCCGCACCAGGGCAGAGCCCAGCTGTAGCCCTCCAACCTCCTCCAAAGCCACCTCATCCCCAGGCAGCTCCCAAGGGTCTCCTGCTGACCCCTCACCTGGCCCAGCCTCCCCACGCCTACATCCCACTTTCAGGTCTTGTCTCTAATATGCTTTCACCTCCCGGATCCAGGACTGGCAGCGCTGAACCAGGTTAAGTTTCCTCAGCTGAAGCCAAGCTGATTGATAGCTTCAGACACTCTAGCTTTCGTCAGATCTTTGAAGCACAACCAAATAAACAGGCTTTGTAAAAGCAAGTGCCTCTTGCCTGCCAGCAAGTCCCTTGCAGTTCGCCAGCATGAAAAAAACCAAGCAGATTTCAGGAGAGCTCCATTTGTGTCAAATGTGTACAGCTGAAAACCAAACCCGGGACGTTTCACTCCTGTTTTAGAGGGGCAAAAAATGGCCCTCTTCTGCATGGTCATCAGGTGGAACAAAAACCTCCCCCAAATCAGATTTCTTTTTTGGTTTTTTTTCCTACTCCAGACAAATCCATTGATGAAATGAGTTAGTGCAGCCTGCAGTTTTTCAAAGGTGAAAAATTTGTCAAACCTTTCCTGGGGCAAATTTGAGCAAAGAGCCCAGGGCTTGTGGTTGCCATGTACAAACAACCACATTTTTTTCATTGTGGCATGTTGCAGAGCTCGAGGCTGTTGGAGAGCTTTCTTTTCTAACACAACCCATCCTTTGGCCACTTTCCTCACTGAGAAAGAGCCTCATAATTTGAGAATGTGAAGTATTCTTCAGAAACCAACTGCCAGTCCCACAGATCTCTTTGTGAATGATAATGTGAGATAACCGAGCAACGGTCAACCCCTGGCAGGGCTCTTTGTATTGAGCCTGAGCTCTTTTCCCACTGAGGTAATGTAAAATACTCGGTAAAATACTTCACGGGTTTCCTCAAAAACAAATAAGCCATGATAAAAGCAGCATTTCTAAGGGATGTTTCAGGCTGTATAAATGCAGGATGAAGACCACACGGGACCGCATGGGAATTTTGTGGTTAAGGTTGTGCTTTCATAACAGTGTCAGGGATTTGTGTGGGCAATGTGGAGGGAGTCCTTCATTTCCCTCTCTTAGTTCTCTGTTTCTTACCTAAAGGAATCCTTTGATTTTTTTTTTTAATTTTTATGCAAATTTATCCATCTTTTAAGAATAATAAAAAAGAAATCAGCTAAACAAACAAGCAGTCATAATTTGGTGATAATATTTGCAACGGGCAGTCGATTTGAACATGCTTGAAATTAAAATAATGGAGCTAAAAGTAAGTGCAAAAATCTGTCCAGTGTTGACCCATTATTTTGGAGCAAGAAGAATAAATATAACTTCCACAGTTTACCCAATGGAGAATTTCGGTCTGTACATGGTTTGATTCTGTGAAGTTATGTGAACGTGCCCTTTTGTGACATTTTTTCATAGCAATCATCTGAGTTTGGGAGGGGAAAATAAAATCCACCCTAAATTAAAAAATGGAAGCAATTAAAGAAAGAAAATTGGAGTTTGCAAAAGGAAAGTAACTTTCAAAATGGTCAGATGTGTCATCTTATTTATCTGAGGCTCCTCACCACTTCAGAGACCGGAGATGCTCTCATAATGGAGTTAATCAAACAGCACATGGAGTGTCCCTTGGCTGCCTCTGTACGAGGATGTGCTTTATTTCGGGAACACCCTGCACAGGACCTAGCACACCTCCCGTCCAAAGGAGATCTGACTTCAGTGTGTCACCAGGTCTTGACCTGCTGCTACTTCTGCCACTCCCTCTGTCTCATGAATTTTACTACGTCTGTAGTGCAGTAGTGTAGGTCACTCAGGCTTCCTTGGTTTTCTTCCTCCTTCTTCTCATCTGCTGTTTTCTGCTAGGCACAGTGCTACCAGAACATGGCACTTGGTGAGATTTTAGAAAGGAGAAGTCATGAGTGAATGACTCTAGCTTTGAAAAGGGTTCTGACTGGTTTCTGGGTAGCATTTATTTTTACAAATGACTTTTCTGGGTGGAAACCAAGGCTAGTTTCCTTAGTTCAAAGTTTTTCTGGGGTTTTTTTTTGCTTTTCACTAGGTGTCACCTCTCAGATTGGCAGTACGTCTCCAAAGACTAGTACAACGCTAGCCACAAATAACCAGAAAGTCACTACTGCAACTGCCAGCACAGTTCAAGGGACCAGCCCTAAAAGCAGCTCAGGAAACCCTCCATCTTCCTCAACTGTGTCTCCTGCCATGGCTCAAGGGATCAGCCATAAAAGCAACACAGAAAGCCCATCATCTGTCCCTGCTGTGTCTCCCAGCGCAGCTCAAGCAACCAGCCCTGCAAATGCAGCAGGAAAGCCTACGTCCACCCCTGCTGTGTCTCCCGGCGCAGCTCAAGCAACCAGCCCTGCAAATGCAGCAGGAAAGCCTACGTCCACCCCTGCTGTGTCTCCCGGCGCAGCTCAAGCAACCAGCCCTGCAAATGCAGCAGGAAAGCCTACGTCCACCCCTGCTGTGTCTCCCGGCGCAGCTCAAGCAACCAGCCCTGCAAATGCAGCAGGAAAGCCTACGTCCACCCCTGCTGTGTCTCCCGGCGCAGCTCAAGCAACCAGCCCTGCAAATGCAGCAGAAAGGCCTCCGTCCACCCCTGCTGTGTCTCCCGGCGCAGCTCAAGCAACCAGCCCTGCAAATGCAGCAGGAAAGCCTACGTCCACCCCTGCTGTGTCTCCCAGCACAGCTCAGGGGACCAGCACTACAAATAAGCTGGGACACCTGCTGCCCAACCTTGTTACACCACCCAGCCTGCCTCAGCAGGTCAGCCCTTCAGCCAGCTCACGATCATGGGTAGCCAGCATTACTGCGACCTCCAGTGCGGATCAGCAGCATATAAGTCTTTCGACCAGCTCAGGAAACTCAGTAAACACCATTGCAACATCTTCCAGTGTGGCTCCCACTAGTCCTCTGGACCAGCGGACCAGCGCTGCAGCTAGCATCAGCATCACAGCGGCCAGCCTTTCTCCTGGGCTCAAGAACCACAGCAACTCCCCCCCCAAATCTGTCACCCAGCAGCCACATTCTTCTCCCAGTTCTGCAGTCCATGGACTGGCCTCTTCTACCAGACCTGGAAGCATCAACACTTCTGTTGCCCCTGCTGCTGGATCTGTGTCCCCCATTACTAGTAAAACATCTCTGTCTTTACCACCTGGGAGCATAGACAAGGTCTCTAAGCCAACAGCCACTCCATCTCCTGGAGCAGGTACCAGACCACACAGACCATTTATTTCTGTGAGTGTGTGTGGGTGTGTGTGCGCGTGTGTGTGTGTGTGTGTGTGTGTGTGGAGGGGCCTTTTGTGATGTTGTCCCTTGACTAATCTAAATATTTTGTGTCATTATGGGGTGTCTTCATCTTGTCTCATTTTAGGACTTTCCAGCATAGTTGTCTCCATAAGAACTGGGTGTTTAGGTTCCTGTTGTCATCAACGGAAAGCTAGTCAATGCAGTTAGTGAAATTCAAGGCAAGAATCAGCTGACAAAATGTAAGCGTCTGTTTTCAGATGGACTGAACTGTGCTCTAAGCACCATTGACTGCAATGACTCAGTCTTCAGTGACTACAAAGAGAGCCTGCAGTGAGGAGTTTAGCAGTAGAGCCTGACACTGTAGACTCATGGAGTCAATGAAATGGACTGGCAGCACCCTGTATGCTGAATGTGAAAGATCCCTAGCATGGCTGACAGCCCAGTAAAGACTGTCTGGGCACGCACAGAAAACAAGCTTTAGATGACTAAGGGAGTTTTGTGGCTAGACTCTGAGTCTATGAACTCTGAAGAGTCTAAGCAGTTAGGAAGGGTATTCATCACTGCTGCAGTGGTTTTGCTTCCCCCTAAGCAGCATTGTGAGTGTCCACAGGTTGTTTTGGATCTCGCTGAACACCATTAGTATGCTTTATCTAGACCCTTTGAGATTTAGAGTCATGTTAGTTTATCCCCTGAAATAAGTGTCCCAGGGAGCGTCCTGGTGAGGCAGAGCTTCAGCTTCCCCTTTGGCATTCTGCCATATAACGTTTACAGGAAAGCAATCACATTGTGGGACTGTGAAGTCTTCATGGAGTCCTCCAGATCTAGGAGAGATTGTGGGCACAGCTGAAATCTAGCCCTGAATAAAAGCTGCTGTGACACTGAAGCTCGTTGGTGTCTTCCTTTGGAGAACAGCTGGTTGGTCTTGACCCATTTCCCAATAGCCTGCAACGTGGAAGCTGCTCATGAAACCATATCCTCCCCCTCAGAGGATGAACCCTCTCCTGGAGCCCTGAGAATGCATCCAGGAGAGAAATATCTATCATCTTTGTTGTGGAAGAGGCAAAAATCCCAAAATCAAACCATTGAACAGGCTATAAACAGGATGTGGCATTTCATCTCTCTTTGATTGTCACCACTGGAGGAACTATTAGGAAGACAGGGATGGACATCCATTTCTTTAAAACAATTAGGGCAGATGGGAGGCCAGTACACTCATGGCCTCACTTGCTCATGGCAAGTCATAGAGCTCATTGCACTGTTCCAATTGCATAAGGAACTGCAAGATGCTACAGGCCCTTACAGGCTTTTGAGACGGTCTCAGGCATCGGAGATACCTGCATGGGGCTGGTAGACATGGGGCATGTGCCTTTCTGGCATGGCAGGTGGGCAGCGTGCCCTGAGGTATCTCTCATAGTACCAGACAGGGACATGTAGGCAGCTGGACAGACCCAAGGATGGGACTCATCCCACTGCTGGCACTTACAGGTTGATTGTCTACATCTAAGCAGGTCAGCCTGGGCTCTTTGCATAGCTGATGGAGATATGGTCAACAGAGTTTGTGGAGTGTTTCATCCCCTCCTAACAAAGATGCCTGTAGACGCTCAGGTGATTTGCACGCTGAACTCCATTAACTGCGAGATCCTGTAGAGCCAGCTCAGATATTCTCCTTCTGCTGTAGAAACCTTCATGGAAGACATTCCAGATTAGATGAAATGAGGGCTGTCCCATTTATCCAGTGATTCTTTTTAATAAGTGATTCCCTGGCTACCAATGCACAGCCATCATAGCCTTTGGATTAATCTCATCAGGATAGTCTGATGGGTTTTAGCAGTAGAAAATGAAATCAGCCAAACATTTTTTTTCTGTATCACAATTAATTAAAAAATATATACATATATACATATATAAACCCAAAGCCTGTATATATTTTACTAGACACAGTAAGCTTCAAGGCAGATCGAGCGATCCAAATAAATGTCACTGGAAACTTATTTTCTGTAGCTCATAGATGGAGCTGTATCAGCTATATCGTCTCTACCATATCAGTGTCTGTCTTCTTGTTTTCTGGTGTACGTTGGGGACCCAGCTCAGACCAGCCGTGGACAAGGATCTATGTCAAGCAAACCTGCAATCACTGACCAGAGACCAACCAGCCCCCAGCCGTCGGCCCCAGCCTCCAGGGACCAGACGACGAGCAGCAGGCCTGGCCACTGGCACCCTAACAACACCTTCCAAAATGAGGTAAGGATGCCTACGGGAAGGGGGACTTTTCGTAACAGTGTCCAAGAAATATCTAAAAAAGGATGCTCGTTCTTGAACGAGTTTTATGACAGTGGGAGCACGTTCACGCTGTCCCCTGGAGAGCAGGGACCAGGCATGCCCTGTGCTCATAGCAGTTCCCTGCAGGCTCTTATGACGCGAGCTGGATTTTAGCCCCAAAACTGCCTATTAATTTTTCGCTGGCACTCAATTCACATGTAGAGCCTGCAGCCCTTCTCACTGTGTCTGAGTCAGAAAGAGAGAGAGAGAGAGAGACCTATCTTTGGAAAATTGTGTATACACATGAGCCAGTGAAATAAGAATAGATAAACCTATTTTTTCCCCCTAGCTTTCCAGTGTAGAGACACGTAGGCTGCAGGTGAGGAGGATTATGATGTGAGTGCTGTGAGTACAGGGAAGAACACAAATTGGAGAGGTGTAATAAAGAGCAGAAACTTCATTGAGGATGACTTGCATGCACTGAGAGGACAAAGAAAGACCACAATGTCACTGTAAATCGTGCGTGGCTGGTCATAGCAGAAAATGGATTGGAAGAGCAGCGGTCTAAACATGCAAACCAGAATAATTACAGATCAAAGTGCCAGGAAGGAGGGAAGGGAGTCCTGTTTCTAGACATTTCTCTTTTGCAGGGTAGGACTATGTCATGGCCTCCTGGCATGAATCTGCCCCACTGTCCGAGCCCATTCCCCCTTTACCCCGCGTGGCAAATCTCAAACCTCGTTTGGAAAGTGCATTAACAAATGTCCTGCAGATGACCAGTTGCGTTATCCAGGAAAACCATTTCTTTATACAGAAAGGGTGGAGTGAAGGGCTCTCCAGTTTGTCTTCTCTGCATAAAACAGCTCACAGCTTTGGTTGGGATGTTTCCAAAGCTCTGGTTTCGGTCAGTCTATTGTATCACTGATCAACTGTCCTTCCAACCTGTGGCAATGATTTGAGAGTTGCTTTTCTTCTGTCCTTCCAGGTCGTTTGTGAAGACCAGGTGCAAAATAGCTGGCCGGTCATAAGCCTTAAAGAAGCTAAAACCTGTGTAAGTACCACCTTTTCTGAGTTTCTGTCTTTTCTTTTGGGCTTCTTTGTAGGAGTAGTAGTTGTGCTGCAGTTAGAGATGGGCTTTTAACACATGGAGCTCTGAGCACATAAGCCTGCAGCGACAATAATAATTTCATCAAACTAAGATGCAATCCCTTTCGGGGTGTAAAACATGGTAAATGCAACCCAACACTCAGCAGTATCACTTGGTGGGGGATCTGGTTGGAGAAGCCCTTGAAATTCCTGCTCTCCGAGGGCTCCTGCAACGGACTCTGCCAAGTGCACGCAGTGCGGTGGTGTCTGATGCCATGACAGAGACATGCCACGGCAGGGTCCGAAGCCACAGCCATGCCCACACTGGGAAAGCTTTTCATTGAAAAGGGGTGTACGGTTTAATCCTTAAAAAATAGTTCAATAGATTGACAAAGTCTGATTTTGGAGCCTAAATCACTTCTGCGACTTAGTTTAGGCAGGGCTGTGGGACTTGCTGGCTCAGCTAGCGTGATGCCTGCCCCTTAGGGGTGCTATCGGTGCTCCAACCCCCGTACGGCTTGGAGCTGAAAATCCCAAATTATGAGCCCTGCAGAGGAAGACCTGGCTCTGCATGGGGGCTGGCTTTTATCCTCCTTCCGGCTTTTATCCTCCTTCTTTGCTCTGTGTGTAGCTGCTCTCCTCCCTGGTGATGTAGCTTGAGATACGCCGCAAGGCTGTGCTGAATTTTGGATAGCAGAGCAGGGCAATACCAGTGTGCAGTGACGTACTGGTGAGTTAAGGGGTGGGCAAAGCTAATGGCTTAGCATTAACTATAGCTGCTTTGTGCCTGCTAAGCTGCGCTATTACCCGCTCGAGCTGGCAAGCCAAGAGGTCTGTGGTGTTGTTTTTCTTAGATTCCTGTGGGCATAATAACGAGCTGAAGAACTGTGAACGCAGAGTGCCAATTATGTCCTCAGGCAGCTGCAGAAGGACTGCAATGGTGCATCCTTCTAGCATCGGCCTCGTCGGCTGCCAGCACACCTCCCACCCGCTTGCCGTTAGCTTCCCGTTCAGTGAATTCCTGAAAACTGTAGCAAATTTTATGCCTCCCAAGCTGAGCAGATAACAGAGAAACTGCACTATCTGGTTTCCCTGCTTTGTAAACCCGGTAAACAAGTCTCTAGCCAAATCTTGACAGCAAAGTGAAAAAGTCCTTTGCATTTTGCAACCCGTGGGAAAACAGGAAAGTGAGAGCTATAAGGAGAAGTGTTCCAAAAATGGCTCAAATCCTGTCTAGGAATAATGAGCCAAAATTGGGATTGCATTGTGCTAGGTGCTGTATATGCAAGCAGCTTACACAAAAGCTTACTTTCAATGACAAGTCAGGTAACGAGTGGAGAGGGAACGTGGAGGACCACAGTGATGGGGTATATACCCAGGCCATCCATGGCAAAGCAGAGGCAGAGGAAAGGAGGTAATGCAGAACCCCACCTTACTGCACTCCTTGTTCAGTGCTTTGTGCATCAGGCAACGCTGTCAGTGTAGTGACAGGAGCAAACTGCTTGGGAATGACCCTGGGAATCGCAAGCAGTGCACCCCACTGCACCTTAGTTTCTCCACCTGCAATAAATTGTGAGAACCCCAACACCATATATCCTAAAATAAAATTTTTTAACAAGCCAAATATGTGGCTGTTGGTAAAACTTTTTGGATTGATGTTCCTTTGTAGGTTCCCAGCATCCTTCCTCTTCAGTTGGTACTTTTAATCAGTCACTGAACACTTTGGTCCAGGTTCATCTGCTGTCTTTGTTGCCACTTCTCCATCTTTTGGTTACGGTAGGATCTGAAAGAGGCTGGCTTCTTAATGCGGCACATTAGCTAGATTCACTTCAAATAGGATGACTTACCAAGGGCTCAGCAAGCACGTTCATGTTCAGTTGGGTTTTAGCTGGCTTTTGTTGGCAGTATGGGACTCTCCAGCCTAGGTAGCTGCCCTGTTTCTCATCTCCTGCCTGAAATGCATTGCATGAAGCAGGGGATGACCATATCCGAGGTGGCCAATTCAGCCACGCAACCATGGGGCCACCCTCTCAGTGTTACCCATCCATCATGCCATTGGCTGGGACATGGAGGTGCTCAGTGAGAGGACAGCAGATGGGCACTGTAGGTGTAGAAGGACACCCGTGGAGGTCTGCTAGGCTGGCCCACCAGCCTGTTCAAGGCGGGGGAAGCAGTGCCATCAGAAGCCAATGAGATTCCCTGGACCTGAACTCAGCTGTCCTAGCTGGTCTGGTTTCCCTTCCTCACTGAAATGATAGAATAGTTGCAGCTGGCAGGGGCATAGCTGGCATTGGTGGGGACCTCTGGAGATCATCTGGTCCGGCCTACCTCCTGCTCAAGCAGGGTCAGCTAGAGTAGGTTGCCCAGGACCATGCCCAGTCAGGTTTTGAATATCTCCAAGGATGGAGACTTCACAACCTTTCTGGATAACTTGGTCCTATGTTCAATCCACATTGCCCAGCAACCTCTATAAGGCAAGAAAAACCTGATGTACAACCCCCTGCTTCGCCCTGCTCAAAGTGGCATCAGTGGAGCTGGGTTCCTGCATGCTGGGACCCTCAGGAGCAGGATACTGCTCGCCCTGCTTGTCATTTTGAGAGCAATCTTGTTCCCATTGCCTGGAGAAGAGGAAAGAGCCGCTGTCGGCTGGGCGACCTCAGCAGCCTCCTCCGCCATCTCCACCTGCCCCAGGCTGGCGGGACAGTCCCCAGGGCAGCCAGAGGGACTCCTGCGCCGAGCAGTGGCTCCATCCCTGTCACCCCGGCCAGCTGGCTGGGGCGGTTTGTTGACTCAAGTGCTGTTACCTCATTTGGGGATGTTAGTTTTAGGTCCCCGCCAGTGTGGGAACCGGATTAGCTCAACGCGCCACTGCCTGTCAACTGCAGCCAAGGAATGCAACCGGCTGGAGGGGGAGAGCCACCGGGGCCCCAGCATCGCCTCAAAAACAAAAAAAAACAAAAAAAAAAAAGAAAGAAAAAGAAAAACCCTCCCAAGGGACAGGACTGCAATGGGCAGGGGTGGGGAAAATGCTTTGGTTCAGCCTGGCAAAGAGGCTCAGGCACCACTCACTGCTCGGCCGCAAAGCGATGGGGCACAAATCAAAGGCTGGTCGTCAGTCTCAGTCCCCTTCTGCAGCACCTGCCTCCCCGCTCTAAAACGTAAAGGCTTTGCTTCCACGTAGGGTGGTAAGAGAGGTGTATGATTTAAAGGCCAGTGGGGGGGATGCCAGAGCTGAGGCAAAACCCGGACAAGTGAGGCTGTAGAGAGGGAGTAAGATGCTCTTCATGCCACAGCGGCTCTGCAGCTCGGCTTCAGCCCCGTCCTGAACGTTGCCGTCCCCAGGTAGGCCAGTCCTGCTGCCTTGCTGAGCTTTCCCGCAGCGAAGCCTTTCCTAGCGCGATGTGCACAGGCAGGGCCGGGGCAGCGGCTGGTTCCCAGGGAGCCGCGGCCAAGCGCCGCCGGGGCTCGGCCGGGGACTAACAATGCAGCCGGCGGCCCTCGCCCGGCGCGGCCGGGGACCGTTCCTTCCGCCCTGGCATGTGCATCCTGTCTCCGCGCGCCGCCTCCAGAGCCGCTTCCCAAATATTTAGATAAGATGGGGCGAGATTAGGTGCCTTCCTCGGCCGGGTGGCTCCTCTCCTCCTCCTCCTCGGTGGGCAGCGCACTGAAGGGAGGGAGCCCCGGCGGCGAGGCTCGGGGCTGTAGAGCATCCTTGCCCTGGCGAGTGGTGTCCTCCCCAGCCGGCAAGCAAGCCCGGCGCCTGCCCCGGCCCTGACTCCTTGCGGCCGGCTCTGATCCCTGTCCCTCAGGACACTGCTATTCCTGTAAGGCCGAAGGCTGTCGCCCGCAGATAAAGGCAGCGCGGGACCCCGGTGGGGAACGGCAGCCAAAAGGAGCTTGGCTGCTCTTAAAGAAACTACTTCTAAGCCTTTCCTGTTCCCCTGGCCCAGCGGAGGCACGGGCAGATAGATGCGGCAGTGGAAAGGGATATATATGGAGAGCGATGAACAGCTCTGTTGGCAGCATCCCTGCTTCGGGCCGGCCCACGGAAGGAATGCAATGCTCCCTCACCCTCCCAGGTTTGCTAAAGTCGCTGCCCGGGGCCAATCCCTGTGCTGAGAACTGCCCACCTCATTGCATGGAGCAGAGGCGGAAGGTGCTGGGAGAGATGCCTGGACCAGGAAAACGATCACGCTGCCAGGTTCTAGGCTCTGGACCAGGACCAGACTCATGCACCTCCCTTCTCCCTCCATCATCCACCTTTGCTGCCTCTGCAAAACCCACCCCCAGGGCAGACCTCCTCGTTGGGGAGAGCCAAGCCGACCGTGTGCACCTTGTCGCCCTCCAGGCCGAGTGGAAGAGCTTGACCCTCAATGGCTCCTTGTTCAAGACTTTCTGCTCAACGGCTCACTACACGTACGACCCCAGCAGGGACAAGTGCACGGTGACTCTGGCGTCCCCGGAGCCACAGTCGCGGCGGTGGGCCGTGCGGGTGGTCGTGCACCGTGAGTACGCTCCCTGCACGGAGCGGGAGGGTATGGGACAAGGCAAGCCTTGGGGTCACTAGTCCTTTCCCTCAGAAAGCCCCACTGAAGACTCAGCTGGGCCCTTGGGATCTAGCAGAGCTTCACTGAGGGTATCCGGTCCCATGGCCTTCTCCATGGGAGGTCCAGCAAACCCAGAAATGAGCTGTCAACTGGCCAAGTGTTCAGTTCCTAACTGCAGCCTCGACCCAGCCAAGCTTCCTCTCCCCTCCATGGTGTGTCTAGGTACAAGTAACCAGGACAAAAAAGACCTCCTGAGTCCCTAAAATTCAGTACCTGGCTCTGCTGGCCACTATGGCACAAGTCCTGTGGTTAGTAGGTAGTTGGGGAGTTTCTTGCCCACTTTGAAGCCTTTTGGTGAAATCCAGCTCAGCTCGGTCGTAGCCAAACCTGGCTTTAGCTTCTGGTAGCATTAGGCTGGAGACCCCATCCCGGCCTGCTCCCTCGCAGGCACGGAGGGGAGGAAGAGCCTGACTCTCCTCCTCCTCTTCGTCAAGGCAAATGCACACAAAGATGAGCTGCCACTCCCAAACCATAGTTCAGGGCAGAGGTGGGATGCGTGACCCCAGGAGGAGGGTCCTGTGCCTCCGGCTCCTCCATTGCTGATCCACCCCAGCTTGCAGCCCTTTTTGCTCCTCCTGGCACAGAGCTCAGCTACAAGCGGGGCCCAGGGCGAAGGACAGCGGGGG